AGAGTTCATGTGCTCATGTTGGAACCCAGGAAATTCCTCTGGCTGCCCTGGAGGGCTCAAGCCCCTGCCCAGGGGGCTCAGAGACCTTGGCACAGAGCCCCAGACCCCTGTAACTTTGATTTAGCCCTTGGAAAAAACAATTACCAACCTTATATGAAGAATTACAAGCCACGACAGTTTAAGTAGAATGATAGTGAATTTATTTATATAATTTTTATAGGGTGAAAAATAGATTTTTTTGGGGTTTTTGGAATGGGGGTTCAGGGGGCAAGATGGAGAAATTGGGGTGTACTCAGCCTTTCTCCTTCTTCTTGGCCTCCATCTTCTGCTGTGATGTTGGCACTTTTAGATTGGTTTAGAGTAGAAGCTCACTGTCTAACATAGGTGATAGGTATTGGAAAGCAATTGCAAATATTGTACACATAGTTTTTAGTACAAAGACATAACACTGCCCCGGGGGCAGGCAGAGTGCCTGGGACTGTCTTGCTGAATGGACCTCGGCAGGACAGGAGAAAGAATTTTAATGAGGAGATACAATAAACAACCTTGAGACCGAGAAATGAAGAGCTCTGACTCCCTCTTTGACCGCCAGGCTGGGAAAAGAGACTTTCTGACGTATCTCGGGGTCACTCTGACCAGCTAGAGATCCCAAGATGCTCAGAACATACAAAGTACAGAAATCTTTAATAATACCTAGCTTAATCCAAACTCTAAATTCATAAAAGGATCACAGCAATGAGCAAGTTGGTATATGCAATCTACATTTCTGCTCACGACACACAGGTTACACCAGACACAGATTTAACACTGGGACACTCCTAAAGAGTTGGGAGGGCATGAGGGCCACACATGGAAATCTTTCTTCCCCTCCATCCCAGGAACTTATGTTCTCTCTGTCCTCTCACACAACAGCTGTGTGATTGTGCAGCAACCAACTTAGCAAGATGATCCAAATTAATCCTTCTTACAAAGTCTTACACTGGGTGGGAAAGTTGAATGGATTTTCCAAATCAGCACTCGTTCTGGGATCAAGGTAAGAGAAACAACGCAAAGGTGTGGCTCAGCCTTGGGAAGAGGCTGGAAAGAGAGCTGTCGGAGAATGACTTAAAGAAAAGGCCATGAGACATACAATTGAGAGAAAAGTATAGGGGAAAAGTAAAGCAGTTTCTAACAGTTCTCAGCCTTCTGATTTGTATAAACAATTAGACTCTCTCAGGCATCATTCTATAAACAATGGAGTTCTCAGACTGTCTTCCCATAACAAGCAGAACACCGTCTCTGGGAAGGCCTGCCATCCTGAGAACAGATGTAGAAGTTTTGGGAACACTGGTTTCTGTTTTAGTTTCTGGTTTCTGTTTTGGTTTCTGTTTTTAATAAACAATTGTAGGTATTCTAAAACAAAGGGAGTGGTTAGAAGTTTCTCTGTTAGCCTATCATGACATTGGATTACAGAATATTCATGGCGTTCGTTAGCACTGTTATTTAAGGTGATTGATTGATCAATAAAGTTGGAGTTCGATGCATTACCAGGATGGTCGTTCTCCCCTTCACTTCAATAGAGAGCAGCACCACTCTTTGGCAGCTGTTCAGTTCAGCAAGCTAAACCAAAACACGAGCTCACACTTTTCCTACAACCCACACAGTTCAAGGGAAATAAAAAAAAAAAAACCAGGGGTGATATGCAGTCTCACAAGCTGGAACTTCCTGAACCTCCTCCAACACATCTTTGACAGAGTTGGACAGACCTCCCCCTCACAAGAGAGGATGCAAGCAAGAAGTTTCTCACTGACTTTGTATCATTGACATAAGGTGTGCCAAAATCACAGCTTTTCAAAACATAGCAGAAGGAGATGACAATGCAGCCCAAGATGGAAGCCAAAGTGCAACATACTTTCCCTTATTTTCTAATACATTATTAGTCTAACTAATAAATAAAAGTCTACATAATAAATAAAGTCGATTTGTCTAACTAATCTTTCAAATACAATGCTGAAGTTACATTTTAGAATGAAAACACCTCTGCCTTCGTTGCCAGAGCATCAGGACATTTTTCTGACAGATAATGGGTAACTCTGTGAATTTGAGACCACTAGGTCATCTCCTTTTTCCTAAATTTATTAATATAAAGGAATAAAGGCATTTCATCAAATGCTAAGACTGAAGGCCACTAAATAAGAGCTTGGAATTATTATTAAAACAACTTTCACTGCTACATAGGAAAATGAAATGCAAAATGAAGGATGCCAACATAAACCATCAACAAATTAAAAAAGAAAAATCAAGAATGGTGTGCTCAAGAGCTCCTGTCCAGTTAGGAAGGTTGCATAGGCTAAATAGAAGAAATATCCCAAGGGGTCAGGTTCTTGGATACATATATTTCCATATAAGCACTGTGGTAGATGCAAAGGACAGAAACCAGTAAGGGTGGTTTTGGATTAAAGTTCCATTCCTAGGAGTGTTTTAACCTTCTCAGTGATCAACTTCTCTGCTGAAATTACATGATCACAGGCATCCAAAGACATACATTTGCACAAAATTCACATTTGGAGTTCCATGCAGGAAGACTTTCTGGCAGACCTTTGGTAACTAAGAACCAAAAACACATTCCAGCAGTTTGTGGAGACCTATTGCTTCTACAGTTTGCTTAAATTATTCAAAAATGTAAACGTGGGGAACAAAGGCTGGTTCAGAGAGCTTTTCATCCCATTCTCCTCATTAAGAGTAAGTACAGATATTTGCTGTATCTTTGCAGAGTTCATGGTATATAAAAATACTTTACAGAAAAGGCTCTAATTCTATCCCACACTCAAGCACAAGGAACAAAACCTTCCATGACCACATGAACTGTGCCACACTATGAACCTCAAAAGACTGCTCCTCACTTAGCAGCTGTGGGCAAGTTTCATTCCTTTATGGAACCCTGTTGAAGAAATATGCTGCCAGAAAGAGATAAAGCTGTAGAGCAAAGAGAGTTCCACATTTCCAGAATGCAGGCTTCCTGGGTTATACACAAAGCAGGAAATCAGGTATGATGTTTAGACATGGAGTTTGTTTACTGGCAAGACAAGCTTAAAATAATCCTAGAGCTGTAGCTTCCAAGCCTGGAAACAGCAATTCAGTTTTCAAAAGGATGTGACAATATTAAATCCTGTGCTGTTCCAGGCTTCCTCTATACAATCACTCTTTAGGAATTTCCAGCTTGCAAGGCTTTTAGACCTGAAGCATCTCTCCAGAGGGAAAGGGCTCAGTGTCTTTCCCAACCTCGATCTCGGTGACTCGCTTCTGGCTCGCTGCTCCATCTGGCTGCTACAGCCTGTACTCACATCATCCCCCTTCCTATTTCGCAGCAGCTTCTCTCTCGTGAAAAGCAACTTCTCGTCACTGCTTCCCACCAATTAGCTTCCACTCAGGACTGTATATTCGTGTCAGTTTTACTTTGATCCTGTCTTTGCAGCGACAGAAGAAAGAGCCATCTGTCTACCAACAAAGAACCTCGAGTACCAGTATGAAAGCCTTCCCCAACCATAACTGCGACAGCAACTCAGGCTGAAAGCCAATATTCTGAAAAAATATGATACTTCAGACTTTTCATCTTCAAACAACTGGGATATTTCCTACACACTCAAAGAGAAATAGAGACTTTGAGCCCCAAATGTGTACACATCTGAGGGGCTTCAAAAGCTCTATCACGAAGAGCATTAATAAAACAATATCTGATGTGTTGATATGCTGTTACATGTCCTCAAGCATTTCAGAGCAAGAAAGGAGATCGGTCTTAACTCTCCTAGAAGGCAGATGTGCCTCACAGAGCTAAGGCAGCCTAAGCATGCAAGTGACTAGAGGACCATGTTTTCTGTATCACTACAACCCGGAGACTGTGATTTTAAAAAAACCCTCAAAGCAAAGTTTAGAAAATCCATGCCTTTTCTATCCCACATGCTGTTTTAAGGTAATTAAAGAAGACACGCAAAACAGCAACAGGGTAGGGACTAGTCACTGTCTCAGTGCTTGATAACAAAACACCACCTCTCGCTGTCACGCCTCCGGAGTCACCTTAGGCGCCACGGAATGGATTGAAGATTTTAACTGCGGGGCGAAACGCAATAGGAAGGGTACGAGGTTACAGAAGAGCGCCTTCCTCATGGGCTGCAGCCACGCACCCCGAACAGGGGCGAGGACGGCGAGAACCAGCACCAGGGAGAGAGGGAGGGAGCGGGATCAGCTCCCGCCGGCTGCCCGAGGGCCGGGGGCGGCCGGGGGGGTCGGGCACACGCAGAGCGGCCGGGAGGAGATGGCGGCACGGGGCAGGCACAGGGGTGCGCTCCCTTCGCTCCACAGCGGCCCCTACGAGCCCCTCCCTGACGGAGGGAGTACGGACACCCGGGGGCTGCCACCGAGCGCCGCACCGCCCGCTCCTCACCTGCTTGGCCACGAATCTGCTCAGCTCCACGCCGCTCTTCTCGTTCCTGCGCGCCACCAGCTGCAGGGGCTCGGCCAGGCGGAGCCGCAGCTCGGCCGCCATCCCGCTGCCGCTCGGTCCGCGCCGGGAGGGGCACGGCACACCGCCGGGGGGGAGCGCGGAGCGCAGCACGTGCGGCGCGCGGCGGACGCGGCACCACCGACTTCCGCTCTGCCGCCGTCACGGGAAGCGCGGCCGCCGCGCCGCCCCCCGCCCTGCCGGACTACAGCTCCCGGCGTGCACCGCGCCGCCCCGCCCCTCCCGCCGCGGGCGCCGTCCGGGAGCGGAGCGAGGCTCCCCCGCTGGCTCAGAGCGCCGGAACGCCGCGCGTGGGGGGCTGCGCTTGCCGTGCCCTCGGCTTTCCCCGCTCTCTGCTCTCCGGAGAGCCATCTGCCGCTGCTGCCGCTGGACTCGCCTGCCCGCGAGCCCTTTAAATCTGCGTCGGGGAGGCGGCCGAGGGCGGGCGGTGACGGACGCGGCAGCGGGTGGCCCCGGCTCGGGCGGCAGGAGCGTTACGCCCCCGGCGGCGGCCGCTCGCGGAGGCCGAGCGCGGCTGTCGGGCGGTAACGATGTCCCTGCAGGGGTTTGGCAGCGAGATCGCCGACAGCACCAGCCGCCGGGATTAAACCTTGGTCTTCCCGGGAGCACCGCCGCAGCAGCGCGGAACGACACCAGGTAAGCTCGTGTGTGCCGTGCGGCATAGCCCCGGGCAACCTCCAGCGGCCGCGGCCCAGGCCTGCGTGACCAGTGGTTGCCGTGAGCTGCGGGCTGGAGCAGCCGGGATGCTCCCGGCTCGTCCCGCCGGGAGCAGCGCGCGATTTCCCGCGCTCGGGGCCGGGCCGGGATGGGGCCCGCGGCCGGGAAGGGGCGAGGGGGCGGGGCCACGGCCGAGGGGGTGGGGCGCGGTCGCCCCGCGCGCCTCACTTTGGCGCCAACTGCTCGGGGCTGGAGGCGGAGTTTGGTGGCGTCACGGCGGCGGATGCGCCGTGCGGCTGCGGCCGTTGGCTGGCGCGGCGCTGGCCCCGCCCCCCGCGCCCGGCCTGCGGCACCGCGGCGGCGGCGGCCGATGAGCGCTCTCGGCCCTGCGCGCGCACCGCACCCGCGGACACAGCCTGCTCGGCTCGGCTCCCCCGGGCACAGCCTGCCCGCCCCGCGGGAGCCGCGACCGGGGCTGCTCCTGCACTGAGACCCCCGAGAGGTCCCGAGCTCTTCCGCCGCGGCAGGAACTGGGGCGGGCGGGAGCCCCTTCCTTCCCGCGTGTGCGGGGAGGGCGAGGGGAAGAGGCTGCCTCTGAACGGGCTGGGGGCTGCTCAGCGCTGCCGGGTGCCTCTGCCTTCCCCCCTGCCAGCCCCTTACTGGTCTGACTGGTGGTACCAGACAACGGGGATTTGCTTTTAAATGGTCAGTAGGGAAGAAATCGGAAATATCAAATCAGTTTATTTTAACTGGGTAAGCTGCACGTTGGGATAACCTGTTCATATAATGCAGTGCTGATTTTCATATCGAAATTTCTTTGTCGGATCAATAAGTCATAGTTAAACATCTTCAGGATGCTCATTCAAGTAACAAATAATTTTTTACGTTTCTTGTTGCCTTGATCCAAGAGTTTTCCTACTCTAGTGCTAGATTTTATTGAAGAGCAAGGGCCACATGTAGCACAGGTGTAATTTATGTACATCAAGATGGTGCTGCTTTATGTTACTGTTCTGAAATTGTCGATTAATTGGTTCCCTTTGCTGTGATGTTTTGCTCCTAGATGGGGAAGCCATAGAGAGTTTGTACCATGGCAGCAGATGAGGATGGACTGGGACTGTACGATATCCGCTACAGTGGTGAGAAGTGTTAGATTACTTTCTGGCTCCTGGGGAATTAATGAAAGCAGTCTTATGCAAATAAATAGGTCTAGAAATAACTTAAAAAACAAATTCGAAGTTGTGACAAATTCTGATGAGCTTCAAATGTAATTAAATGGTTGTGGCACAATATCAAGCAAGCCCTATCCCATTAGTAAGTTTGTATGTGAAACTCTACCTGTGTACTTAGGATTTCTGGAATGTTTTGAAGGGGTCTGGAGCTGGTCTCGCCCCTGTATTTCACAGTGTCTAATTTAATCTTCAGCTGTATCTTCATGAAGCTTGCATTTGAACAGTATGGGGCACTGCTCCCTTGTTTGCTGTTTGTAAGAGCCAATGTGCTCCCAACTGCCGCAGTACCCATAAGTATGGGTGAGGTTTGCCATTACCTTTACCCAGGGTAATCACAGAAACTGCTGCAGTACTCCATAATCAAGGTACTCTTTATTTCCAGCTCCACAGCTGGCTGGTTTAACACATATTTAGGAGATTCCCAGCCTCAGAAGGACTATGGATATTGATGCTTTTCTTTATAGAAATAATATTTGTTGCAGAAATTGAGAGGTCTACATAGACGACATGAGAGTGATAAGAGGCACTGCGAAAAGACATGAAGCAAAACTAAGATGATTTAGATTAAAATACATTTACAGAATCAGTTATTGTGTTAGTAGATGGCAATGCTAAAGACTAAAATTGGTGGTATTATGATATAGACTGCTACAATGCTTTCTCTTTAGCAAGAAATATTTTCTTTAACAGTAGTGGTTTTATCATACTGAATCTTTTATTTTTGTTTTTGGATTCTATATGTTTTGTATTTAGCATATTCTAGAAAAGAGTTTCAAAGTTAGATCAATTTTACTTAATTTGTCATTTTAAAATCTATTTGCCATATAGTTGGCTTTATGCACAGTTCTTGTGGTATTTACAAGCTGATCTTACAATTTACTCCCTGGTGGCTGATCTTTTCTCCACCGTAGCAGTAGTTTCCTGGATAAAATTCCCGTTTTACTGGTCTGTACTATTACCTCTCCGGTTTTCTACTGGTATAGGATCATAGCTGTGCTTACTTTTTACTTTATGGGAAAAGTAGAGTTTGCAGTTTACTAAATGACTACTTTAGCTTTTTTTTTTTTTTTTTCTATTGCTTTAGCTGAAACTTCCCCCTTCAGGGAAGGAGATGAGAGCTCTGTGGATATTTATGATGGCTTGGACAGCAGTTTGTCGGTTTCTGGTAGGTTAATGGTGTCTCACTGCTCTGCTTGGCACATTACAGAGTCTCTGCTTCTTGAGCTGATTTCAAGTAAAACATATTTAGTTTTAAGTTTACATTTAGCTGGTGCAGCCTATGCTTCAGCAAGCAACTTGTTTAAATTCAAGACATATATCTTAGGCTGTATAAATGCAGCAGAGAATGCTTAAATCTGTTTGCTGAATGAAAGATAGTTTTTCTAATATTGGCTATTTGAAGATACTTGAGCAGGGGTGCTGGAAACCTTCGCTATTTTATCTGTGCCTTGATAGTAGGACATTTTACCTTGGAAAAAATACCCTTATTTTGTGTTTTTGTTAGCTTCAGGATCAGATCCAGCAGTCACTGATCACTAAATCCCCAGTGAGAGATCCAAAACATGCTTTCAGTGTGATACAGTAAATTCAGGGTATCCTTTAAACCTTTTGTTACTGTCCAAATAATTTGACATGCTGTTGCAGCACACACTGAAGTTCGGAGAGCCAGGATACACAAAGTATCACAATACAATTTCAGAAGGCTTTAAGCATTTTCCCATACGGAGTTACACCATACCACGTTAGAAGGCTTCAGCCACGTGCCCGTACAGAGTAACCCCATATCACATGGAAGGCTTCAGACATCTGCCCTTTGTGTTCTTTAGCCCAACCTTTTACACCCCTCATGTTGCTGCACTGCACCTGAGTGCCCTCAGTTCCCTTTGGTGTTGGTCAGTGCCCCTGGGCACTCCCTGGCTCATTGCTGTCAGCGCTGCTCACCTGCTGCTCACAGCTGTGCCCACTGGGGGTGAGGCTCAGCCACAGCCCCACTCCCAACTACCACAAACCTGTACCTACAACATGCTAATGTAAATTAATTTCTTCTTTTGACCTCTTTGAAAGTGGGAAATAAATGGATTCAGCACTTTTTTGTGAGCCTTAGTGTGCTGTTTAGTGAAATGCTGTTTCTAGTATTTAAGCAATTATTTCTCTCCTGATATTACTGTTGTAAGACCATTGAATTTGTATGAAGAACTGTACTATATCCTACAGACATAAAGCATCTCTACATCTTTTTCTCATTTTGCATTTTGTATTTCTTCAGTTCATATTTCTTATATGGAGATGCATTGTTTAGTAAACATTAAAAACACAAGGAGCAATAGCAATGCAGTAGAAACATTTTAAATAGTCCAGTTTTCAGTGACCTTGGGTTTTTAAATTTGCAGAGAGGGCTGGTGAGATCTTTGCTCTGTACAGATAAGATGTTATTTATACATCCTCTTGCATTATGGCATTGTCCATAGGATGGAAGCACAGCTTTAATAGCTGACTTCATTTATTTATCTGCAAATGCATCTGTATTTCAGGGGTGTCATAAGCCAGGTCCTCTAAGTGAAGTGTATTTGGTGAACAGGGCATCCAGGCTGATTTGAGGAAAAAGCACCATAATTAAATAATTTGGGTGTTGGCTTGTCAGTTGGTTTTGATTGTTTGGGTTTGGTTTTTTTTGTTTCACTTTCATTTCACTTACAGTTGGCTATTTCAAGATATCTCTGTGCCTTATTGCAGCATGGTATGATGTGAGCATATAATAATTACTTTGTGTGTTGTTACCTTGTAAGTAAAAGAAGTAAAACCAAAATGCACAGACAATATAGAACTGTGTACAAAATGCAAGATGGTTAGAAAAATACCTTCTTTCTCATGTAATTGCTTTTCTTTATATAGACAATTTTGCTCCAAATACTACACCATCTAGAAGCAGCTTAAATTTATTTGATGAGATATTAATTGAAGAAGGGACTGCAAAGAAAGCATCCTATGATGAGGTATGTATTAATATGGGGAAAAAAAACTTCTGATGTTTTGGGGGGGATTTTGTTCCTAATTTCCTTGTGTGAGAAGTAAAGTACAGAAAATGTTGTCAGCATGCTCACATTGTAGGAAAAATAGGCTCTTTTTAAGTAAGTAAAAACAGGAGTGTGCTAATAACCTCTTAGAACAAGAAGTTCAAGTGACTGTCACTCTGTGACATGATCTGTTCCCATTTCTCATTTGCATGCAGTTCATTTATCAGCTGTGTTATGGGAAAATGTATTGGAATTTCCCTGTAGTCAGTGATCTGGTCATACATCTGATACAAAGCTAAAATCTTGACATTTCTCCCAACAAGTTTTACCAGAGTAAAGCTGATAAATCTGTGATCTGTTTTACATGTTGTTAAATTCTGTCCTTGAGACTGAAGGTGGCCGTGCAGCAGGTAACTGCTTCTAGCAAATCAAGACAATGCTCATTAAGTAGCATCACCGATCCTGGCCTGTAAGACACATTTAAATGGAATGAAAGGAGCAGGCATTAACAAATGTTACAGAATAAGTAGGAGTGAAACCTCCAGGACTCTGAGTGGTGAAAATATCACTTTGCAAGTTTGAAAGTTGTTGACTGTGTGTTTGAATGGAAGTTGTCCATTCTCCTATGAAAACTTTGTCACTATCTATCTCTAAAGAAGAGCTCATGCCGAATTTATTTTACTTTAACTTTGTGGTCTCAGCAGGATCATGTCCTTTGCAGTCTATTATGGCAGTCCAAGTTTGTTGTTGTAACTTTTTGTTGTGTTTTTCCTTACCTGTTTTATCTTACATGAGATCTGTCAAGAGAGTCCCCATCCATTTGGCTCTCAGAACTCCTGCTCCTTGGCAGTTGTGTCTTTTATTTCACAATAATATGGCTTCCTGTTATTCTTCACCTATTACTGTGAGGCAAGCTCAATAGATTTCCTCTTAGCTGAGTGTTTGTGTTGTTTTAGAGATCTGCATACCTATTGGAGCCTTTTGTTTCAATATGGCTTTCATATGTTCCTTTGGGGGAAAAACAGAGGTTGTGATATACATTAATGTGTTAACTGACAATAGATCTTGAGAAGTAACTGTTCTGTATAATTAAGTCCATTTCTGTGCTCTGAATTCTTCTCTCTTTGACAGTTGCAGGCAGAATATGGAAAATGTCAGCAGCAAATTAAAGAGTTGATGAAGAAATTTAAAGAAATACAGGCACAGGTATTGTAGTTCAAAGGGAAATACTGTCAAGATGATGCAAAGTAAATTGAATATTGCTTTGAGAAAGCAATTTCCTATGCTTTCCAGACTTGATCCATTGCATGGATGGTTTGTAAAGCATCCCTGTGGATGTTAGGACCTTGGTCTGCCTAGGATGGTTGGAGGGGATAGCCTACTGACAAGATCAGTAGGTAAATTAATGTTTCACAATGTTGTGTGCAGTAAGACTTTATTTGGTTAAAAGCTATCTTCTGTCTTCCTGATTAGAAAGTAAATGTGTCAAATGATTAGTTATCAGAAAGGTATCCAGTACTCTTGTTTTTTTAATGCTCTAGGGACAGGGCTGTAAAGCACCTGAGCTGTCATCAGCACTGGAAGCAGATGTCTGTGTTGCTTTGAGCATAGAGCCATTCTGATTAGTCTGAGCTGCTCTTCAGCTGCAGCTGCTGTTCCCTTGCTGTGCCACTCTGCAGAGAGGATTATTTGGGGCAGTTCTGCAGTGTGCTCTGCTGCATATTGCACATAACTCCCAAAGGTTCTAAGTCTGCAGTGGTAAGCAGCTGCTGCCCTGTGACACTTTGTATTGTTTTCTGCAAAACTTGTCTGCCTTTCTGAGCAGGCTTTGCTGAGGACAATTATCAAGAGAAGGGATTATTTCTAGGATTGACAGGGTTCTAGAATATCATACCTAGAAATGTTAGAATGATAAAGTGCCCAAAGTTGGTTTTGATACTTTAAAAGAAATACAGTTACTCTCTTTCTCTGAAAGTGCTTGAGAGCTACATCTCTCATTTGATGCAATGACCAAGAAAGAAATAAATGTGTAAAAGAATGAAACAAAGAGGTGGATTATCATTTTTTAGCTCACTTGTTTCATGGCATATTTCAATTTTACTAAATTGTATGCTTGAAACTGTACGCATTTCAAGCATATTTCTTGTTAATAAATAATTACCAAGACCACAAACAGAAGCATAAATGTGAGTAAAATTAAAAAAAAAAAAAAGCCTCATACTGTTTTGGATCTGAGTCATTCTGATTTCTTTGAAAGATTTTACATGTTTTACTGTCACTTTGCCAACGATGGGACATTTTCCTAGTGATTGTCTTGCACTGTTTTTCATTACATGGTTGGATATCCAAGCTAATTCTTGTTTTTTTCTCTCCCTCTCTCTCTTGCTGTCTCTTTTATGTATATTTAAAATAGAATATCATTCTACAGAATGAGAACCAGGCTCTCAAAAAGAATATTTCAGCCCTTATCAAAACAGCAAGAGTGGAAATTAACCGTAAGGATGAAGAAATCAGTCATCTGCATCAGAGGTACAAACAGACAGCAGAACTGAAAACATGCTTGTGGTCTGATCATGTTTATATACTTGTTAGGAATTTTTGTGTGCATTTTAAGAAAAATTAATGAAAAAATTAGTAAATTATTGTGTGGTTTAGAACCAGTACAGTCAGAGGAAATACAGCTCTCCTTTGCCTGATGAGGTCTTGGGTTTCTACTTAAGAAAAGAAGGAATCCACATGGTGACCATTTCCATGAATTTTTGTTTGCAACCCACTATTCCTTGTGGGTTATCTAACTATCTTACATGTTTGAAAGCATTATCTTACTAGTTTTGAAGCTGAATTGTGTCTGTTCTATGGCCTCAGACATGAATTCCATGGAACTTCTCAGACAACAACTGAGAAGAAATAAATAAATTATATCATGTTTTCCTGGGAAGATATGAAATCCTGTCTCCAGTGGTGAGGGATAACAACAAGAGAATTATTTCTGTGTACCACTAATGTTACAGGCAGGAGTTGAAACAGTGAAGTATGGATGGGAGAGCAGCTGACAGTAAGCTTGTGAACCATGTAAAGGCAGAGCAGGGATTTGGGATTCAGGATGCCAACGTGTCAGAAGGTTACCTCCTTGTCACTTGGGTCACACATCATTGGTTTGTTTGTGTTTTGGTTTGACCATTTGATATTTTCCTGCACCAAAACATTTTGTAAAGGAGATTCCTTTGAGGTCCCTGTGCTAAAGGCTATTTGCATATAAACTATGCAGGTTTCTTTGCTAAATACAGAGAATTACTGGGCACAGTCTGATGGAGATCAAGAGGTTTTGACATGTGTAATTCTTTCAGCTCATCAGCTTTCACACAACAGCTGTCATTTTCACACCTTTGAGGGCAGTGAATTTAAAATTAAATTCTTTGAAAAGCAACTTTTTGTTTTGAATATTTGACCACTTTATATACTTTACAAGCTCCATTTCAATATCATCTGATGGTGCTGAAAGTTTGTGAACAAGGTATTTCATCTAGATATTTTGGAAGCATCCATCATGGAAAATTGTGGGGAAATTGGCACTTTGAGATCTTAGAAACATGCCTTGTCTGCTGCATGGTTTATAGTAAATTAGCTTTTCTTAAGCAATACATCTATGTGTAAAGATTATTTCAAAGTTAGTATCTCTCAAGGAATTGTTAGTGTTTAGCTCAAAAAAAAACCCCTCAACTATAAAACCACAAAACAAAAAAACCACAGCTGGATACAATTACATTAATCACACATGTATACCCTTTCTAATTTGATTTTTTAAAGTTATTTTTAATATGATGACTTCTCAGCAATAGCATGTGGCCTTGATGAGGCTTGGTTATCTATGGTTATCTATCTATAATGTGTACTTGTTTTCTGGAGCTTGCAAAAACTCCCACATGTAGTTTATTTCCTTATTGATGGTTTTAAAATTATTATTATTATTTTAAATCACTACTGCTGCAAAGAACAACTTTTTCTTTTTTTTTCCCCTGGGGGAGAGCTCTTTTTATTGCTGGACAATGAAATACTAATTTGAATTGAGATTGTTAACTAGACTCAATACAGTATTTTTTCATAAATCTTGATTTTTCTTTAGATTAATTTCTTTTGGAAAATATATATATCAATTACATTCTTTTGTTCTGTGCTGATGGAAATTATTAAATGTCTTTTTATATCACCCTTTTTTTTCAGCTTGAAATTGAAAGTGTTAATTTTTACAGAAACATGGATTCATTGCAGTTCAGCTTTAGTTATGTTTCAGTAAATTTAAAAATTTAAAATTAAAAATCTTAAAAATAAGATAACTTTTTTTTTGTTTTATAAACAGGCTGTCAGAATTTCCCAACCATCGAAGCGTTTTCACCAGAACATACCTTCCAGGAGCAACTAAAACTAAAGATTCCAAATTCAGACCTTCTGATTTTGGTGATAACATGAAGATGGAGCACAGAATGAAGAATGACTGTTCAAAAGATGCATACCACAGTTACTCATCTCACAGCACGGACAGTGGGAAGTGTGGCTCTGAGAAAAGGAACACTCCACTTTTGCCAAGGTACCCTCCTGAGGAGCTCTGCAGTGATGGTGCTCACACGTGTGCACTGAGCTATGACCATACCTCCACCAAGGAGAACAGAAAGGAAAGAAAAGAAACCAAAAGCAATGAACAGCACAGCAGGGGAAGTGGCAGCAAATACAAAAGAGAAGTACATCAGAGCACTGGAAATGATGGGGACAGCGAGGAGGGGAATGTGGATCCTCAACAGAAGCTGAAAACCCTCTCAGAGAAGGCTAGTAAAAATGAATTGCAACAAAAAAGTCAGAGCACAAAACTCAAATGCAGTCCAAGTGTGGAAAGAAGAGTAGAAAGGGGTGTTTCTTCCTGGGAGAAACAGACAGCTGGTAAAGACAGATTTCAAGCAAGAGGTGAATTGTATACTGATGAGAGATCACAAAATGTATTAAAAAAGGACAATAAAACACATGATAAAGGTGAAAAACATGCTGGCCAAAAAAATAAACCAAATGAGAAGCTGCAAGAACAAGCAAGGAGGCCTAGCAGGGGAAGCAGTCCACACTCCAAGAATGACCATTCAAAGAGTCTTCATGAATCACATAAATGTCGTGCAGAGGAGTCTAGAAAAGTAAAGCACGCTGACTGCAAGAGAGACAGGGGCACAGATGATCATGGCTCTCGAGAAGGAAGGACTTCACCTTCTAATTCCAGCAGCAGAGAGCATAAATATGCACGCTTGAAGGAAAGCAGCAGTAGACATGAATGGGAAACAGCACATTCCAAATCAGAAAGACACAGAACTGAGGAAAAAAGGAAAAGGGAAAGAGAGGATCAGGATGAAAATAGACATTTTAGAAATGAAAAAAAAGTTGCAAAAGAATTTTCTCACCAATCTGTAAAAGACTCCAAGAAAGGTACCCATGGTACAAAAAGTGAGAGAAACAAATCCTCTAAGCTGGAAGAAACATCCAGAGTAGCAGGCACCTTAAAAGATGATAAGGTACCCAAAACTAAAGGTAATCACACTGGGCAAAAAAACAAAGACTTAAAACTTAGCTTTATGGAAAAGCTAAATTTAACTCTTTCTCCTAATAAAAAACAATTTCTCTCTGCAATGGATGGACTTAAAGCACCTTCCCAAAAAGCCACTGATGAGGGAGGTGCAGAGCTCACACTGCAAGCAGAGCTCTTAGATTGTGCCCACCCTGTAGACTGTGGTCCCACAGGGCACAGTCATTCAGCACTACAGGTTCTGGACACTGCAGCTCAGAGCAGCATGGAACCAGCACTGCCTGTTGCTGCCGGTTCTGGAAATGGAGCCTTGAAAGCAGCAGCAGATCCAGCACGGGCTGAGGCAGTGCCTGCAGTCACAGCTGATGAACCAAGCTCAGAAACCTTACCAGAAGAAGAAGAAGGGGGTCAGGTACAGCCCCAAGCCTTGCCAGCAGCAGCAAAGGTGCTGGTTCCTGATGAGATGGACTCTGAAACGCCTTCAGAAGCAGCAGAGACTTGTGATCCAGCTGAATTGGAAGCGTCAGTAAAAACAGCAGCAGTGACAGGTCTGAAGCACCCTGAATGTTTGCCCCTGGAGGTGACAGGGAGTGTGGCAGAGTGTGAAAAGCTGCCTGTGACAGAGGGTGAGATGCAGGATGATTATGTACCAGCAGCACAAGTGGCAGGACCTGAACCTGCAAGTGCAAGTATGGGAGACCTTTTGGAGTCAGCAGAGAAGAAAGAGGAAGATAAAATATGGCTGGCTGCTGACACAGAAAGCTCTGCAGATCAAAGTGGCTCTCAAAATGCTGGCTTAGATGACTCAGAAGCCAGAAGTTCTGGTGACCTGGAGTCCTCTGACATTGCAGATGATAGCAGTGAAACAAAACCAGACTCTTTAATGGAAGTAGTGAGGGATGATGATCACCTGGCTGCAGAAAATGTTGACTATCCCATTGAGGAAAAGAGTATCTGTGAAGTTAATACAAGTACATCTCATTCACTGGACAGAATTAGGATAAGTGATAAGGATAAACCACTAGTTGACCAGAATACTTGTGATCTGGGGCCAGACCTAGCTGATAACAGTACTGCAACAGCATCTTCTCTCAGTGGTGAGATGTGCCCTGTAACTAAAGAGAGAGTATTAACTAACCCAGTTTGTGTTGATGATGACAGCTCAATTCTGAGCATTGATCTCAATCACTTGAGGTATATTCCAAAGGCAATCAGCCCACTGAACAGTCCAATACGTCCCCTGGCTAGAGCACTGAGGATGGAAAGTCCCTGCAAAGGCCTTGTGAAGACTTACAACAAAGGTATTTGCATGTGTATATTCTAATTTGTTTTCTACATAAAACTTAAAAGATCCTCTCATGGAAAGCAGAAACTACTTCTGACTGCTTTCTGAAAAATACAAATTGTGTTTTCTTAAGCTGTGTATGTCCCAGTGGTCCTTTTTGTTAGTGGTGGCAGCATTTAATGTTGCAGCCAGGATTCTAGCCATTTAAATATTAGTGCTGTAAAATTGGAGTTGGTCACTATTGACAGAAGACTGCTTGAAATAAGAGTTTTGTATTAACTTACTAAAAAAACATACATATACATTTCTTAATTGTGGCTAGTTTTACATAGATCTCTTTAGGTTTCATTATTGGGTCATTCTCAGTTTGTTTTAGTTTTGAAATTGTTAAAAGAAAAGACAACTATTGTATGTAAATATTAATTCATAATGATGTGAGAGTTATAATTTAGCTGGTGCAGTAATCAGAAAACTTGTTAAAGTAAATGGAAAGAAATTTAAAACTGATGAAGACTGCTACATTTTTATCTTTCCAACTGATGTATTTGTGAGATAGTTCACATATGTTTGGTGAAATGTTGAGGCCCCTTAAAGCTCAAAATTTGCTCAAAATAAAGTTTAATTTGCCCTTTAAAGCTCAAAGAAATATATTAAACTGGCAGCTGCTGAAGGAAACCACCCAAACTCATTATAACTCAGGCTTCATGAATTCAAACAGTTCTGAACAATCAGTCTATGGAAGAGAATCTTATTTTTCTGAAAATATCTGTTTAAAATTGCATTTTTTGTGGTGACTAGCAAACTGTTTTCTTTTTATAGATTTAATGCCTGAAAGTACTGTTGTCATCTGTCCCTCAAAGAACTTGTCAAAGGAAGTAAACAAAGAAAATCAAAAGCCAATGAGCATGTCTGATGAACACTTAGAGATGGAGTCTCGGCTGAGTATCTCTTCTGATGAAATAGAAGAAGGTGAAATCATAAGTAGTGATGAAGATAAAGAAAGATCTAAACCAGAGAGAGGCTCTGAAAATACTAAAAAGTCAAGACCAAAAGCTTCTTCTGAGACACGAAATTTAACCAGCAGCCCACAGAATCAAAATAGCAAAACTGTGCACTGCAATGAAGATAATGGAAAATTTGTTTCTGTGCAAGTAAGCACACAGAAGAACAGAGAGAGGCATAAAAATCAGACCTTCAGATCTTCAAAGAATACGAAGAAAAACAAAACTGTGAGCATTGCTTGTCTTGAAAAAATAGTTCATGTTATTGTTGAACCTTCAAATATACAAGAAATCATGCAGATGCTCAGAGCTATACGAAAACAGATGAGGAAAAGTTATATGAAGTTCAAAGTACACTTCCCAGTTCAGCATTTTCACAGAATTATAGAATCTGGGATCATAAATTTTACAGCATTAATAAGATACTTGAACTTTTCCAAGATGTGTGCATTAGGTGATACGTTAAAATTGAATATCTGTGATATTATAGAGTCAAAACTTAAACAAGTTAAAAAGAACGCAATAGTGGACCGTCTTTTTGACCAGCAAGTATCAGATATGAAAAAACAGTTGTGGAAATTTGTAGATGAACAGCTTGATTACTTATTTGAAAAGATAAGGAGAATTATAATAAAGCTATGTGATGTGGAAAATGAGAGCGAGGAAGGGAAGTTTGAAAGAGTTGGAAAGCAAAACCACAAGATCAGTCATAAAAATGATGTGGAGAGATCTAGAAAAAAGTCCCCGAAAGAGGGTTCTCAAAAGCCTGAAGAATATATTTCAAAACAATCTGTGGATTATGAACAATCTAACTGCCACCATGAGAAAAATAAGCCAGGTGCACCAAAAACTGCCCTTACAAAATGTCTTAATTCCATTGATAACACAAGAAATTCCCAAACAAAAGTTCACCTCTCTAAAGAGAATAATTTACAAAACTCTCTTACTCCACTGAAGGGTGTGAAATATGAGAAGGAAGGTCTCCAGCTGTCCAGAGATGCTAACAAGTCTGATCTTAGTTATGAGCTTCTCACAGAACAGCAAGCCTCCAGTCTTACATTTAATCTAGTAAGTGATGCTCAAATGGGTGAAATTTTCAAAAGCTTATTACAGGGTTCTGATCTGTTGGAAAAAAATGGTGGCAATATCAACAGAAATGACTGTGAATTCAGGACTCCAGAGAAACAGTTTTTAGACAGCCATAAGTACAGGGATAATACTGTTGAACTGGAGCAAGACATCAGTGCAAAGGAGGCATGCATGGATTGTAAACTGGATGAGGATATTAGTTGGACTATTGTTTCACCTGTAAGAGCTCCCTCACTGGCATCTAGGTCTCAGATGCCTGTTGATCCAGATGTGCTGGATGAGAGCTGTATGTTTGAGGTTTCCACAAACTCAGCTTCGTGCAAAGAAGATGAATGCAATTTACAGAAGAATAAATCTTGTATTTCTTCTATCCTCCTTGAAGATTTGGCTGTTTCCTTAACCATTCCATCGCCTTTGAAATCCGATGCTCACCTCAGCTTCCTAAAACCTGAGAATAATTCCAGCTCAGCTCCAGAGGGTGTTGTTAGTGCACATTACAGCGAGGATGCACTTCTTGGAGAGGAGGATGCCACTGAACAAGACATTCATTTGGCTTTAGAGTCTGATAACTCAAGCAGTAAATCAAGTTGTTCCTCGTCGTGGACAAGTCGGCCTGTTGCTCCCGGTTTCCAGTGTCGCCCCAGCCTCCCGATGCAAGCAGTGATCATGGAGAAATCCAATGATCATTTCATAGTGAAGATCCGAAGGGCAGTGCCATCTGCCTCACCAGCCTCTGAGCAGATGGCTCCGGTGAAGGAGGCACAGGCATCCTCAGCCAAGACTGGAAAAGGAGAAATGAGAACGGGGGGAAAAGAAAAGGACAGCCAGAGTGCCACCGTGAAAGAAACTGTCAAACCAGATGTGGTTAACATGGATCACTTGCCCCATGTCAGCACTGAACAAGAACAGAATCCTGCCTTAGCTCAGCCTCTGAAGGAGTCACACAGTAGTGTTGGAAAGGAAGAAACTACTGGCTTGCTTGTAACCTCTAGAAAATGTTCAGACAAAGAGAGCCATGACTCTGAAAGCCCAGATAAAGGCTCTGAGCAATCTGAGGCACAGAAATTGCAAGTATCTGAAAACATAAATGAAATGCATGTTAGATCTCAGGATTCTTTTCCTGCTGGATGCAGTAAGAAGTCATGCATAACAGATGGTATTGTTGGTGGAGCTTCATGTCATACAGTGGAATCCAGAGCAGAGAACAGGACTCAGGAAACTTCAACAGGAAACTCAGAAGTCAATGATAAAAAGGAAGAGCTGGAAGAGTGCTTGGATTCATCTGCAGACCTAACAGAAGAGCTTTCTATTGAGACTGTAGCAAGTGAATGTGATCTTGAAACAAAACCCTGTTTGAAGACTAGTGGAGGGTGTCAGATAAGTATAGATGATAAAACTAATAAGAAGAGGAAAAAAGAGACTATCAAAGAGAATTCCAATTCAAAAAGGCAACGAAAAGGAACTGAATCAGCAGGTGAGGGGAGTGATGAAGGTAATGTCAGGATTGAAGATAAAAATTCATCACCCAAGCAGTGTTCCAGTAAGAAGAATGACCAGCAGAATAAAGACTCTTCTCCCTCGGCTTCATCTCCATCCTCACCTAGCCTCTATGCCAAAAACATCATTAAAAAGAAGGGAGAAGTCGTAGTTTCCTGGACAAGGTAATTTCTGATTCAATCTGCTTGATTACTTTAGGGTTTTTTAAAACTATGTGAAACACTGAAAAGAAGGAAGAAAAGGGGTCTTAGCTAATGACCAAAGTTATTTGGTAGCTCTACACTGTTCTCTAAAAAGGAGAAAGGGAGCCTCCTTTTATCAATGCAGGATTGCTGTAGGAGATTGATGTCCATTTCTTATCCACATCTCCCAAAGCAGGAGTCCTTTTGGTTTTTGTTTGGAAAGCTTATGTGCTGAGGTAACAAGACCTACTGTAATCCACTCTATGTTCTTATTTCCCCTGCCCGGTTTATTTTTTCTGTCCAAAAATTCCAGCCAGGCTTGGTAGGGGATGAAGTTCCTTGATGTTCCTAGGAGGCATTGGTGACTGATGAGGAACAGCTAAAGATTTCCCCCTCTGAGGGAAGGCATGAGAGTAAGCAGTTTTCTGCTTACAGTTTTACTTTGGGCCTGAGCTGCTCAATCTGTGGAAATGTAGCAGTCAACCATTCCACTCAATATATTCTGATTTGCAGGATGTGGGTGACAAATGGAATGGTTGTCTGTGTCAATAATACATGCAAAATTATTGTGGTGTATTCTTGTTTTTAAGAAACTATAGTTGGCAGGTTTTGCTGTTCTTGCTATATAACTTGACACAATGAACACTTTATAAAGGGGCTTCTAAAATTTTCAGGATAGACTTTTCTAAACTGTAGTTCAGATATAGTGAGTTTCTAGGTAGCATTTTAAAAGAGAACCAGTTCCTTCACAGAAAAAAGGCAGCAAAAGCTAATGTGATTTTTTTTAATGTGCAAATCAACAAGGTAGAAAGAGACTTAAAATTTTCTGTATGAGTATGATCGGGTTTCCAGTTTTGCAGGTTTTGTGTATCTTTGAACTTTTATCTTTTTTTAAAAAAATACATTTATTTAAATAACTAGTCATTCCACTTTTCTTTGAAATTGAAGAAAAAAAAATACAATTTGTTGAAGTATGATAGGTTTCAGCCAAATAAAGTTGCTGGCTATACACATTTTGCCTAAATTCATTGATGAGACTGACGGGAAATCGGTGACACACTTCAGAATAGACTCCTGGGTTTTTATTCTCATGTGAGCAGTACATGTGCTCTCTGAGTATATGTTTGTTACATTAAGCCCCTTAGAGGAGTCAAACATCCTTAGGTGAAAGCTTCTGTTCAGCCATGCAAACTGAGGCTGGAACTGCTGACCTCTGTTGAATTGGAGTTCCTTTCAATTCATGTTTAAATATCTGGTTTAGGAGCTTAAAACTCTTTGGCTTTGGTTTGGGGCTAGCTCTGTTCTAACAAATCCTGCCCTCCCTAGTAGGGGAACGTAATCTCCTCTACCTCTTGTTCGTACTGACTCTCTTACTCTGCTGGTAGAAGAAAGGATCCTCCACAAATTTGTTGCTGCTGTTTGAAGTCATGTTCTGTAGTTTGGAAATACTATGAATTTTATATATACCTGTATGTATTATTTTGTTTGTGTACATTTACACAACTATATGTATTAATGTTTTGAAAATGCATTTTTGCTGTAGAAATGATGACCGAGAAATTTTACTGGAATGTCAGAGAAAAGGACCATCAAGCAAAACCTTTCTTGCCTTGGCCACTAGGCTGAACAAAAGCCCAAGTCAGGTAGGTGATGATCATTCTTGTATATACTACCAGCAGTATTCCTACATTTACAATTACAGTGAAACAAAAAGCTTTGGAGATCTTCTGCCTATCTGTTGTTTTCTTTTCCTCATGTCTTTTCTGGGAGATTCCTGAAAAAAAGCATCTTAGATTCTGCCAGCTGTTACTTCTCACAAATAGACATAGGGATATTATGGGGATTCCTAAGTTTGGTTGGTACATCGGAACTGCTCCACTCATAATCCAGGTACAACAGGATTGTTCTGTTGTTGGATCAGCACTTAGATAAAGAAAGGCAATTTTGAGAGGCCTGAAGCCTTTGGATACCTTTAATAAATTAGAAAAAAGATTCAGTTTAGAGCTGAGAAAAAGTATCATGGTTGTGCAGAAAGGTCATTTTTAATGAAGGCATTTCTTTTTTTCCTTTCACTTTTAATGTAAAAGTTTTCAAAGGACGCAGATACCAAATTAATGTAGAATATTCCCAGAGGTTTGCATCTAACTTTATACTTCGGTTGAATTGTTCTCTTAATATGGATCCTGCAAATCTAGAAAGGGAGAAACACATTTGACTCCATTAGGAAATCCTGCATGTTGGGATTTGGATTTTAGGATATTGTGTTGTATAGTTGTTGAGTTTTTGTGGGGTTTAGAAGCTGTTGGGGTGGCTGGTTAGATAAAATAATGTTATCTGTGCATTTATGCCTCTCTTGCCAGTTAGTTTGGTGGATCATCAATATGCTATAGCAATATGTATAGAGCAATAAAATGTAGTAACTTAGAGCTGAGTGAGATTACTACTTCATCTGTAGCTATGTTCAGCAAAAAGGCCTTTTACTCTGATCCACAGACCAGTTTTGTAAAATCCCTGTTAGGCAGATTATTCCATGATGAGCAAAAAATACCTGAAGCAACAATTGTACAAGAGGGTAGGAAATAGCCAATAAATGGTGCTTTTTATGGAGTACAAAATAAGCTTTTGTCTTTACATTTGCATTGTACTCACAGTTATGCGTGCCAAATTCAAGGCTAATTGGCTTTGAAGCCTTCATTTTTCCTCCTCCTTGTAGGGAAGCCTGTGTTGGCTCTAGCTGTCTTTGATTAACCTGGAAGCTATTTCAAATGGGAAAGGTACAGGAAGACTTCCTAGATCCAGTTAATTTGTTAATGGTGCTCCTAAAATTCTACTAAAATTTCTTCAAAGTAAATAGCGGTGGTCTTAAAAAAAACTTGATGTCAGATCAGTCTGTTGTGGTAGATGTGGAGGTCGGGGGCTTTAATGATATGTCTTTTTTTTTTGTCCTCTCTTAGGTTTCAGAAAGATTCAAGCAGTTAATGAAGCTGTTCAAGAAATCCAAGTGCAAGTAGACTCAAACCAAGTTTCTTCATGATTACAGGGCTCAGGTGTTACCTGCAGGGATGAACTGGAGCTACTGCATTCATATGGTGGGATTATGGAGAGGTATCTGGGTCAGAATACTGAGTTTGGTAAATCCTGTGCACTGTCAGTATTTACTTGTCTGAGTTTCCTCTGAACTCCTTTAACAGAGTAACACAGAGGGAACTTCACAAGCCAAGTGGCCAGGAAAGAAAGGGCTTTGACACTGCACACGGGGCAGTATCATTTCAAGGGGGTTGTCTCCTATTAGTTAAAGGTGTTCTGTGGGTGGAGACAGGGGCAAGAGCGGGAGTGATGGCTCTTGCTGCACTTGTTGGAAGTTCTGTGTGTGCTGATGTTGAACTGTGATCTCAAAAAGTAAGAGTGCTTTGGAATCCAGTTGATAGATAATCCTGGAAAATGACAGGTAGGTCATCTTGGTGACTGTGGAACATATTTTAAGAAGTGAGGTCTTTTTCTTTTAAAATAAGGCAGGGCAATGATAGCAATGATTCCAAAAGTTGCTTATCTAGTAATTGAATTCTGTTGCTCAGGAAGAGGTGGATCTTGCAGCTTGTTCTTAACCGTTTGTGACAATTGTTTACTTACTAGAGATGTAAATCTAACAGGATCTGTTTTCAGAGCAGTCAGTGTGCAGGGTGGCATAAATGTTACTTTACATGAACGCTCCTCCGCAAAGGCCATTGTGTTTTTCTCTTCCAAATTACATCTGGAAAAGGTACTTTGTTTAGGTCTTCAACACAATAAACATTCTGTTTTGTTAAAAAAAACTAAATATCGAGGAGTGATTTTCTTTTAAAAATTCAGAAACAGATTTTACAGTTTCATAAAATGTGACTTCATAGTTAATAACCAGAAGCAAAACTTTTCCATAAAAACAGGCAGTTTTCAAAAGCTTGTCAACTTGGCATGTTTTGACAGCAATTGCATCTATATTTACACATTGTTTAGTGCATTAGAAATTCATTATGTTCTATTTTAAAAAAATCTGTTATAACTCTTTCCAGTTTTACTAGAACATACCTAAAGTGTGTGTGTGTGTATATATATTTACGCACACATCTCATACACACTGCTGTTTATCCCAAATTTCTAAAAATGTTTTGTTTTTTCTTCTCTCTGAGAACCATTCCTGGAAGTTGCAGGGGGTTTTGTTTAATGAATTCATTAATTTTTGAGGTTTTATTTTCTACAGAGGATTGGAATTGCTGTAGTCTTTATTCAGTCAGAGCATCTGCTGAGTACAGTTAGACTTCATTTAATAGCCCTCACCTAAGTGCATTGCCTTTCAACTTGGATTGAATTGGCTCTTTTTCAGAGTCCAGTAACCATTTCTTCAATGTCAGCATGTTTTTTGTTCCCTCTCCAGCTAATGGGACAGACTTCTCTTTCTAATAAACCATCAGATAATTTGTCAGTGATGTTGTCACTGACCCCTTTGGAGTATGGTACATGTGACTTATGGAATGGATTGTCGTGCTGCCAAACAGTGCATTGTCCTTGTTTTAGGCAGTGCTCTGGAAACTGTTACAAGGAACAACTTGAGTGGGTGATGATGTCAGTTATGGCAGTCTTCCATCTTTTGTGCTTGTTTCTGAACATTGCTTTCAATGATCAAATCTCACCTTCCGTGCTTTGCTGTCAGTCAGTGCCTGGTAATTTCAGTGGGGGATCAGTGCACCAGCCCATGCTTGTTCTTAACAAATGTTTGTGATAATTGTTAATTTGTTGGAGATTTAAATCTAACTGAAACTGTTTTCAGAATAGTCAGTTTGCAGAGAACTGTTTATGTGTGTGGAAAAATCAGACTCGCCTAAGAGTGTTGTTTTTAACCATATCCTTACAGATCAACATGTGCACAGTACTGAAGGCACTGAGGGAAGTCACTTCTCTCCACTTAAGTGCTTCCTCTCTGCCTCCAAAAAGGCAGGCAGTATTTTATTACAAAGTTGTTTATTCCTTATGTGTGCTTACTTTCATATCTGTATAGGTGATGGGGGCAGAGTTTGACGGTTTTGAATCTGACTTGGATTCCTTTTTTGTAAAGTGTGAAACTTGGTTAATGTTCTCTCTATTGTATCTATGTGTACAGGTTCCTATGTGGTCATGTAAAATATCTGATGTTTGTATATATATAAATATATGTATAAAAATAGAGCTTTGTTTTAGCCAAAGATGATTTTTTTAAGTATATAAAACTACAGGTTTATTTTGTATAAACTGAATAGTTTGCTTACTGTAAGAGCAATACAAAAAATAAAACTCTAAAACTCACACACGTGTTCTTGTTGAACAAAGGTTGGCTTGGAGTGGTTTTGTAACATTGTTTGTAATTTATTTCTCCAACAAGAATTTTGATACATATATGCCAAATGTACTGTATGTAATTCTACAGTCTACTTTGTGAAACCTCAGGTAAATCAAAATTTTTTCTAGAACTGTTGATTAATGGCTTGACAGCTACACATGCTGTGAAGCAGCATTAAAATTTACTTCTCCTAGTTTGTATAAGTGAGTAGCTATGTTGATGTTCTGGCCAATAAACATGGAAGTTGTCGGCTGCTGCTCTGCTCTGATTACTGCTCTGAGTACATACTGCTTATTTCTTAGTGAATGTGACTGGAAAGTGGAGAATTTCACAAACCACATAAAACCCTTAAGCCACTTATGAAACAGGACCTACAACTTCAGTATTTTTTCTGGAAACCTGGGGTTATTGTTGAGTGGAATATTACAAAGGAGAAAAGACCATTTTGTGTCCCAAGACCTTTCACTGGAAGAGTGTAGCTGGTGGCCCTCCAAGAGTCTTACTCCAACTTGCTAGTGAAGGTTAGGTCTACTTCTATCCAACACACATATTTTTACAGGATTCTGTTTGATGGATGTGAGTATTCAAAAATTTTCCAGAGTTTAAATTAAGAGAGTGGAGATGTGCATGATAGTGAAATCATGGGGCATTGGCCATTGAATTTTGAGGGATTCTCTCTAAGGCAAAGTCTGTTGGCAGCTAAAGGTGTACATACAACAGTTGTCTTAACTCGGAACACTTCCTTAGATGTCAATCCAGCAAAACACAGCTATTCCCACTAAGGCTTTCCTCTCATTGTATTCACTCTAAAACCAGATGCAGAATAATCTTCAGCAATTTGTCTTCATGAAGGGAAGCAGCAGTAATAAAGCATGCTGAGGAGCAGTCTTAAGGATTTCTTAGAAGAATCTATGAAATCAGTTGAGGCATTTCAGGAGCGGAATTGGCTTTGCTAGGACAGATGGATAGAGTTTCAGGGGTGGCTGTTTGGTTCCTGTGAAAGGTAACTTGCTCAGAAAAAGCGAGTTAGTACCAGTAGTAACAGTAATGTTTGTCTAGTAAAATGGAAAGAAGTTCAAGTGAACTGACTTTTTCAATAAGCCGAGGAATTTCTCACTCTAGCTAGTGAGAGTACAATGTATCTCTACAAATGTAGTGATTTAGTTTAAAGCTAAAATTCTGTAGTCTCATCTTTGCATGTCATTATGCCCATAGCTGAATTGCTTTGGCTGCAGCCTGTTGTCCAGCTCACAGTTCACATCCAATTTGTGATGGGTTTGGTGAGACAGCAGAAAGCATGTGCACTTTGGAGTGGTTTTGACCCTGTACTGTTAGCTGTGTTGTGATGTCAGAATTGTGAAGTATTAGTACAAGGAAATGCTGCTGTCTGTGTTATAAGAAGATTACTATTAGTTCCCATATATATCTTTTCCTGTTTTTCAAATGTGTGAGTGCCTGACAAGAATGTCAAAACCTGCAATGCTATAAAAAGTGTATTTGGATCTAACACTAGAAGAACTTATTTTGTACTAGCTGGGAGTTCTAACTTAGAATCAAAAAATATTGTTAGTTGGAAGAAACCTGCAAGGGTCCAGCTCCTGGCCCTGCACAGGACAGCCCCAGCAATGCCACCATCTGCCTGAGAGTGTTGTCCAAATGCTTCTTGAACTCTCTCAGGCTTGGTGGCTGTGACCACTTCTCTCGGGAGGCTGTTCCAGTGCTCAGCCACCTTCTGAACAAAGAACCTTTTTCTAGTACTCAAACCTAAACCTTCCCTGACACAACTTCAGGCCATTTCCTTGCATCCTATCACTGGGCACCACAGTGAAGAGATCAGCATCTGCCCCTCCTCTTCCCCTCACAAAGTTGTAGACTGCAATGGGGTCTCCTCCAGGCTGAGCAGACCAAGTGACCTCAGCCAGCTCCCCCTCAAGGCCCTTCACCATTATTGTTGCCCTCCTTTGGATGCTCTCTGCTATAGCTGAATGTCTTCCTCACACTGTGGCACCCAGAGCTGTCCCCAGCACTTGAGGTGAGGCTGCCCCAGTGCAGAACAGAGCAGGACAATCCCCTCCCTTGTCCAGCTGTGGCTGATGCACCCCAGGACAGGGCTGGCCCTCCTGGCTGCCAGGGCACTGCTGGCTCCTGTTCTACTTGCCATGGACCAGGACCCTTTCTGTGGCTGTGTTTCCAGCCTCTCATGCCCCAGTCTGCACCTACATCCAGGGTCACCCCATCCAGGTGCAGAATCCTGCTGTCACACACAGGCCAGAGTAAATGCCCCATACTGGATTTGGATACTGGGATTTAGTGAAGAGCCACCAGGACCAGACCTTTTACCCTCCTTGGCTGTGATCTGCTCCAGCCCCAGCACTATCTTCCATGGGTCTCTGCTTCCCAGCAGGGAGGTCACTCCTGATCGGGAAGGTCAGGCATGAGGATGTGCTGGTTCCCACTGTGCTGCTTCTCACAGTTGCCTGTTCCAGTCACCACTGGCCAAGGTCCCATCTCTGATCTGCAAGATATATTCCCTCCCACCAATCCACACACAGCCTGCTGTCAACTCATACTGTGAATCAAGCTGGTTCTGTCTGTGGCAGGAACTTACAGCAAGGGGGTGTCCTGAGGCACCACAGATTCTTGCAAATGCAAACACCACCATCCCTGCGCCCTCACCCTGCTTCCCTTTCATGCACAATTAATTATATGGTCCATTAACAAGCTTGTATGAGCAGTCCTTTAACAACATTAATTATTCTGCTGCTACAGCAGAAGTGCAAAAAATTGTCCCTGAACAGCCCACTGTCACCTGCCCTGTCCCCTGAGAAAACCAAAACCTTAAACCAGGGTGCCCTGAGGGCAGAGTGAAGTAGGCACTGTGGTTCTGGACCTGCCAAGGGACAGGTGGGATGGGGCAGAAGTGTGCTGGGCCCAGAATGAGCTGCTTCTGCAGTGAACAGCTCTGACAGGATGGGCACATCATAGGTGCTGCAGCTCTTGCTCTCTTCTCAAGCTTTCACCAGCAGAGGTGAAGAGGAGGCTCCTGAGAAACACCTGGGACTGTGGAAGCTGCTGGAGATGTCAGGTGAAGAGCATCTGATGAGGCAGCACACAGGACCAGGCCTGAGTCAATGCTCTGAGCTGAAGCAGCAAGGAAAAGATTTAGGGACTTGGTGACCAGATTTGGAAAGAAGAGACATGAAAATAAAATGGCAATGACAGGTATGTGAGAGTATATGGATGAGAAAGGCAGGGGGAGGTCTGGGAGGTTTGGATGAATATTAACACATCTCTCAGGGGTGAAAATTGTATTCCTACTGCCTGTAAGGCATTTGTTTGTAATGTGTGCATAAGCCATAATCTGCTGTGTTAGGCTGAGGCTAGAGGAGAGCTGCTGCAGCCACCTCAGCTGCTGCAGGGCTCTCAAGGCACATTCAAACAGGACTTTCAGGGGGTCATGTACAGCTTGTGTGAGAGAGAAGGACACAAT